ATCTGGGCAGACAATATCAGCTGTTGCATAAATAATTATCAAGTTTAACGAAAAAGACCCTTGGCTTGGATCAAGATACTTTACTAATGCATGGCCCATCACAGTCATCAGGAGCGTACTGTCGAATGTGTTTTGAACTCTACGGTAGACATCTCCGTTCAGTTAACATCAGTTGGGTCATAATCCCCTATATCAGGTGCGTGCTATTTTCGTCTAATGATTGAATGTGTTATAAAGTAAAATCATCTATGGTAGATGAATGTACGAGCTTCAGGAGTGAGTTTACATTCAGTGAATTTATAAGTCCTACTGCTAAGAGACTCACAAACAAAGGAGCATATTTTTTAATCTTTAAGTCATGCATGTAAAAAAGTCACCACTTTCTCCGTATACATTCCTATCACTTCTTAAGTAAGTGTACTCCGACAGTTCTGGCGTGACGCGAGACTTGTAACAGATTAGGTTGATTTGTTACGAGTTCATTGGTTTTCATCATTGCCTTTGAAGTAGATTCTTCTTTCTTTTTTACTTTAGGGTGACTCAAGAGGTAGGTGAATAAACACGTGATAGCCGGAAAGAGTGGAAAAATCATGCCTCACCAACATGGCGTTGTGTAGCCCGCTTGCGGCACTTCCTCGGATATTCTTGTTTCGTTTTCTCACACGTTTTCTCTTGCAAGCACGTGGCAAACCGTCAGCGATAGTTGTAGAAGAAATTATATGATACAAAATAAGATGGCAAGCTAGTAAATGAAGAGAAATCCATGGACTATCGTCGATTGCTGACGGAGTTAGTTGTCATTGATTGGAAGTCAAACAGTGAGCGAGGTAATAATTCCCCCTTGGACTGCGGAAACAGAAATAAAGTGTTTTTGACAGATAGGTTAATCGAACCGACGTTCCTACGGAAGTGTATTCTAGGGGGAAGCTAATGTACCATTCTAAGAGTTGACCTCAACAACTAAGCATATGTCAAAACAATAGAGTTCAAGTATTGATTCACTTCCTTATTTTGTATAGGCGTTATATTTCTTATTATCTTATACTGAGTGTTGAGAGGCTTTGTTTATCTGAACAGATAATCCCACGCTCCACTGTGACTGCGCGAAGATCTCAATAAAGATCTATTTACTACTATTCTGGTTTCTTCTATCAGTAGGACGAAGATTACCTACAGGCACGAAAGACTAGCCAATTTCCTGCAATGGCTATGATGACTTGCCTTAACTCGTCAACCAAAACCCCTAGTTCATTGAACTTACTTGATTGTGTATAAAACTTTTAAGAAGAACGGCTCACCCATACAGATCTTGGTGACATTCACTATTATTAGAAGTGTATTTTTATTTATTTTTATTTTACCCCTTCGTATCGGAGATAGAAGGACTGTTTGTTTCTGAGTAGTGGTGGAACATTCTTGATAGGTGAAAGTGTCAGGGGCTATCGCTAAATGAAACTTAGCATAATACCCATAGCACCAAGAGGACGTAAGTGAACGTCGAGTTTTCTTGTGAAAGACTACTAGGAAGGTGTTATTATTATCACATGTGTAAAGAGTTCTATAGTTTACTGGGTTTGACCACGAACTTTCTCACGGAATTTTGTGCCTGCTCACACATATTCTTCCTTAAACGGATATTTCATTCAGTGTAGTTTGACACTAAAACGTGTTGGTGATCTGTCAGAGTGGAGATAGTTATGAGCAAAACTATATATCAAAATCATAACTTTGATCTTGTCCTTTTGTACTGGCCAGATTGCAAGCTAAAAGCTTCTTAGGAATCATAGTAGAGTTTATTTTTATTTCGAGTACCTCTTCGGTTGCTTTTCTTTAAAAACCTTTCAAGAGAGCCACACATTTCTTAAGGTCAGGGGATAATTCACAAGGCTTTAGAGATTTGAAGAAAACTATTAAGATATTTTTAAATAGTTTAGAAGTCGGGTTACATAATATTCTGCAAACAAACTCCAATAGTGAGTATGAACATCGTAAAGAGCTGTGACATGTTTCATGTTCTATTTGACTGCAGAAGATTGACGAAAACAGAATGGCGATCTGGTGACTTAGTTTTGCTTCACTTCAGTACAGTCTTGAACGCTGAGTGCCTTATTAAAACATCTAACAACATAACTAATAGCAGGCCTTAAAATATGCACACGGTTTCAGATCACCCTGAAGATGGGATTGGTCAGTCAGCTCAAGCGGCCTATGTCTAATGACGAACAACTTGCCATATAATCAAAATGTTAACTTTAGGCCGTTTCTTTTTTAGCCATAGAAAGACTCATACGTGATCTTCTCGAAATTAATAGCCTTATACTTCAGTTAACTACGATTCATTTCAGGCATGATTATGAATATGATGTCCAACTAGGCCGATATTGTAATTTTTATGTTTGATATTGGTTAAACTAACATTGTTGTAGGTAATTAATGAGTCGTTTGTTCTATCATTCATAACGATTTTTTCATTTAGTGATTGGATTTAAGGTCAGTGGTATGGTAATGGACTGATAAGATAATACAACATTTCACTGGTCAATCAAAATCTAGTTGATACTCTCTACACCGTTTGCAACATTTGAATCCCCTAAACTCACCACGTAGTCGTGCATCCATGTCACATTATGGGTGAGACTATGATCTATGGACGACTTTTGAGCGACTCTAAATTGACCTTGAGAGTGTCCACCTACCAACGATGACTAAATGAGAGTTATAAATCAGTGTGATGGATTAGAATTACAGTTGATGGTTAGAGTTAGCAATTAGATTTAGAGTTTTCATTGCGAACTGACGTCAGCTAAAACGTCAAAACACTCACAATTGATTGATCAATGGGCGGTGATCAATGTCATGTCACATACTTCTTCGTGCAGATCGAATGCTATTGACCAAATTGCAGCGTGGCCACTAGTCTAGATGATACGACATTGCGTGCACTATGTTGAGGTAAGATAGTGGCTGGAGGTAGTCAATAGGAAACCCTGATAACGTGGTAACGTCTCTGACTGTGAAGCTGGGTGACACGGGATTGAATCTGTCAGGGAGCACCAATCCCCTCAAGGTCACAGTTACACCTTGCTGACGAGTGCCAAAAAGCATCAAAACCGGGTCCATGGTATCCTGTTAAATAACTCCAACCACCATCTTACGTCAAGACACTATTTAGCCAAATGGATGAATGAATTTTGAGCCAACTTCCAAAACCTGTTATCTTATATTTGATTCGTTCGTCCATAAATTATAGTCTCGCCGTTTTTCATGCTTTGAGCAGTGATTTTTCATATGAAAAGTTTGTTAGGTCAACTTTTGGACTGATTTCATAGTTAACTTTGAGTGGTTAACCTATGTGTTTTAACGGGTACTCTATTTCGAATGATCAATTTACTAAGCACCTTTTTTAACTTTGGAAAATAGCTTTCAACACAATTTATAACTGATCAAAAACCAGAAAAAAGTGGCAACTGTTTTTTGTCTAAATTTGGAACATACTAACATTAGATACATGTGTCTTCATATACAGGGTAGATGTCACGAACTTCATGCGTAATATGATCACAATCCACTACTCTAATGCTTCCTGATTGCTTACATTTTTTTCTTTTCAGTTTGATCCCCATATTCATTACGAATGAAAACTTAACTTATCGGATCAGTTACACCGATCATAGCTTCAGCGATTAAATGTTGAAACAAGTTGCTGATGAATACATTCTTTTAATTTCCATTCCTTTAAAAAAACACGACGAGACTATAATTTATGGACGAATATGATAATTAGAAGTATTTGAATTATAGTATGAACTAGGAATCCGAGAAATAACGGAATCGGATCAAGAAGTACTAGATAACCACAAACGAATGTACTGTATTTAGAATTCGAAATCAAGCATATAACAAGTACGATGGTATCATTAATTCATTCAAACACCACAACGAACCAATCAGGCATAAGATAAAAGGTGTCGGATTTTGGCACGAAACCCACTCATCTATTTGGCTAAATAGAGTCTTGGCATCATAGCTAATATCATTTCGTGAAGACCTTAAATGTGATTCCTCACCTTAACGATCAATTGTAAATCATAATCTTTATCCTTCACACAGGTTTATAACCCTTATTTAGCTCTAATAAGTAGGTGGACACTCTGAAGGCCAGTCTAGCGTCTCTCAAAGGTCATCCACAAATTATAGTCTCATCAAAAACAAAAAAATAACGCTTCTGTTTTCTAGTCGTTTTGTTGACTCTCAATTTAGAAGTTTATTTCTTTCATTCACTCAAAGTTGTGGTTATTTTTTTGTTAGTCTCTAAATAAAATTATAAACAGAAGCTTTTGTTTTCTATTGTCTATTTTAACTTGTAAATGACAAATAATACCATAGTGTAAAATGATAAAACTGTTGGTGGGATATTACGGGTGTGTCTTTTTATATAAAAACCCATACATATATGCATATAAACTTACTTACTCACTTATAAGAATTGACTAATACTCTTAGGTGAATTGTACTAAAAATAAAAACAAGTAAACGCCTAATCTCCAAGAGAAAAAAAAAGTATCTTAAGACTCATAGTAAATTAACATTTGATTTAAGCTTTGTATTATATAAACAAGAATACTCATAATACACTAGTTTACAATACTACTCACTATTGTAGTTGTGTAATCCCATATATATCTATATGTATATATGTATATAACTCTTGTCTAATAATATTATTTGAGTAATTTCAATATTAACCAATCATAAGAAATCAATGAGAATACCCTAAGTCAATAGTTGATTATCTATTGGTTTAAATGATAAAGATTATATTACTTAAATAAAATATGAAGTAATTAATGATGACAATCATCAATGTATTGAATATGAATGATACAATAAATGATTGATCATGATAGAAAAGTAACCGAATTGTATATGTATATAACAATAATAAACAAAAGATAGTATGGAATGGACATTCTTAATGTTCAGTAATATTGATCGAAAATATGGTCAATTTTCATTATTCTAATAAAGATTTATATCATACTACACAATTCTCTTCATTAAATCAACATGATAATTTATGTCATGATGATCTACATTGTATTAAACATTTGAATCCTATAATTAATGATAATACTAAATGGGATTTGTTAAGATCAATAGAATTGAATGATGAAAATGTCAAATCTATTTCAAATCTTTATGCATTGAATCATTTATCAACTCTTTCAAATAATAATAATGATAATGATTGTAAATCATCAAGAATTGATGATACAACAACAATAGATAGTTGGACACCATCAACTGATCAATCGTTTATACATCGAGAAATATTAATAAATAAAATGAAAAGTTGGAAATTGTACAGAAATACTAGTCCTTTAAATTACTTCAATAATATGAATAATACTAGTAATATTGATAATCTACCTGAAAAATACTCTGTTCAATGTAGATTTAGAACATTTGAAGATGTGCCTAAAGATCAAATGGATGATCATGTAGCTACAGTACATATATTTAACCGATATTTAATGAATAATGAATATGGGCATGGAGATCAATTACAAACATTGAAAGACGTTCATTCATCAGCTGATTTAAGTGAAAATTTAACAGAACAGTTTATTACACCATCAGTCAGTGATGGTTTAACATTGGATGCCTGTAATCAGGGTAAGTGACATATTTTTTCGCCAATATAGTTACGCCTTAAAACCTTACAACAATTCAATCCGAGTTCCTTTTATTTTATTGAGTAAAATTACTTCAGGAGTTCCTATGTTCTTAATCTCCAATAGTTAAGATCTTAATTGGCGAGATCTGAGAATCTCTAATAGACAAATCTCAATCAATATTAACTTCGAAACATTTTCTCCGAGCTGTTCCAGCATAAATGTGAAAATACACATCAGTTTATCAAATGATAATACAGTAAAGCTCATGGATATCAAAGTATTTAGATAGTTGAGAGCGTTAGTGTGTATGCAAGTGTGTGTGTGTATGTGAATAACTTGATCACTACTGATTGATCTATTATCTAACCCATTTATATATAACTATTTTATAAAACTTCATAAACCTGTACACCATTGTAACTAACAATTCACTCAAATTATCAAGTGTAAATACTGTCAATAAACTACTGTATCAAAGCATCGCATGACATTTATACACAATGTATGTATACACTGAATATATACTTTGCTTATTAACGATAATACTTCATTGTGATGACATTTTCTCAAACGTTTGACATTAAATAGAATTAGGAAGTATGCAACATAGATCTTCTAACAACAACCTTCATATCATCATTGTATTATCCAAATTATTCGAAAGGGACTAATTACTCTATAACACTTACTTGACACTATTCAGAGAATAATAACGAGTTAATGATTCAATAAACCATCTGTGTGTGTGTTAGCATCATGACATTCCAATGGTCAACCATAAGCAAAGCAACAAAACATTCCAAATAAATACTTAATGTCTGCCTTTCTTAATTTCAATAATCGAGAGAATTTGTGATGTGTGTTACTGATCTCATCAGATATAAGTAGTATGTAGCATCAATGGAAAATGAAGATCGAAGATGAAGATCGAAAGAAACAAGTCGAGAACACAGAATGATTGATGTGGAAATGAAGGAACAATCAAGTCTGAGACAATTGGTTGACATTTCCAAATGGGAAGTTTAATGCATAGTTGTCAGATTTTACTATGAGATTGTGGAATTGTCTACTCAAATACATGTGGTTGTCTCCACCTATGTTCTCCTTCATTACAAATTTACAGTAATGTTTAAATCATGAAACAGAAAATTATCAACAACAAAAAACAAAAACATGACGATTGGATAATGAACCGGATTTATAACAGTCAGTCTCTTCATTTTGCGATCAGCTAACTTTGCAGAGTGAATGGTGCATTTTATTGCTGCTATGTCTACTTGATACTACCTAGTTAATTAGTTTGTTTGTTGAGTTTTTTTTATTATGGAGACGCTTAAGGTCCTGATATTAAAATAGAGTATACGCTATAAGATAAAGTTGATTTAATGTTCACAAGTGTGATGAAATTAGGAGAATACTCTTTACTCAAATAGATCAACAGGTTTGATTGAATGTTCATTAGATCACCGATTTGAACACTGTTAATTCCAGACTAGATTATGGACGAACCAATCATGTATAAGATTACAGATGTCGGATGTTGGCATGAAATTCACTCATTCATTCGGATAAATAGAGTTTTGGCATTATAGTTGATGTAAAACCGAAATCTAATTCTTCACCTTAATCATCAAATGTGAATCATAATTCTAATTCCTCACACATGTTTATAACCCTCATTTTGTCTTGGTTGTTAGTTGGACACTCTAAAGATCAATCTGGCGTCGCTCAAAGTCGTCCATAAATTATAATCTCACCTAAAGGTCGTATTGGTGGCTATCATTTAAGTTCAAAACGAATCATATTTCAATAGAAATGGATGATCTAATAAAACATAAATTACAATAAGGCATAACATCCAACAATTTAAAATTAACTGAAGTATTGTCATGAACGAGAACACATGTGGGGATACCTAATTGTATTGCTTTGCTAAAATATGAAATACTTCATTTACAAATCGTCCATCGATTGTTTCAATCATCATCGTTCCTTCATTGCTATTACAAGTACTTACTGTTCCTATTCTCTTGAATTCGATCTTCCCAACCTTCTGTTGCCATGTGTTACACTTCTGACTGAAGTTACATACTACTTATGTCAACAGACTTTAGTAGTATATACCGCAGTACGATCTTTAGTCATAGTTCATTTTAACTAACAGGTATAAGTTATCATGTCAGGAATTAAATTAAATATATATTCAGTACACATATTTCTCGAAACTATATGAGTTTCGGTATTGATGATATTGTTCACAAAGACAATAAACGATTCAGTATTAAACTAGCTGACTTAGGGAACAAAACAATATTGAAAGTGTCTATGGAATTCGCAATCATTCTATATTACTTCACAAGGTTGGACTATACAGATAATGGCTTGATTTAATCACAAAAGAGAAATTATCATTTTGTTATATTTTCTGGTAGATTATAAAATGAGTCTTTGCATTCATACAGTTTAGCATTTGAGTTTTGGCTGTTCAGTAAACTGATTCTATTTTCATTTGTACACTTAGTCAATTCGGTATTAAGGCCAAGTTTGCTTTTTTTTCTTAAAACAGACTATTTCTTAAAGACTAAACTATAATAGTGTGGTTATAAGTTTAACTGAATATTCATTTTGAATACATTTTAGTTTAGATAATGAATGTATTTCAACAAACCAATTATAATCAGAATGGGCTTTTGGGGAGATTTTTAGAAAGTTCACTGGTTGAAATCATGAGTCAATTGAAGCTAGACCATCATAGAAAACATGGAAGCACTGGACGACCGTTTTGTCCTAGAACGGGACTCCTCACCAGTGCACATCCATGATCCCGCGCCCCGCGAGGTTCGAACCCAGGACCTATCAGTCTCGCGTCAGGCGCTTAACCAACTAGACCACTGAGCCGGCATCCAACGGTGTTAATGTCTAACTTCAACCGATCCACGAAGTTGCGCCACCGCACACCATTGTCTTCAGTGAGTTCCTATCTCACAACAGACCTGGTTGAACTCCACTAGGACGAAACGGCTGTCCAGTGCTTCCAGATTTTCCATGGTGGTCTAGCTTCAATTGACTAATGATTTCAACCAGTGAAACCAATTATACATAGTTATTATTAAACCAATCCAGTAACATATTATTGTCAATATAAAGAATTCTTATAAAATTACGAAACATTTATAGAATTCACTTGGTATTGTTTTACTTGAATCTTCACATTGTTGTTTAAGACTGTAATTGATCAGTCTCTTATTGGCATATATGCATCCTGTGCGTATTTTCTCGAGATAGCCTTAAGTCACAAGCTTTTTAAACAAAGATTTCAGATGGCTAGTAGTGGAATTCAGGATGCGCGTTTTAACCTGTTTTAGGGCTCATCAGCTCAATATACGTGAATCCCACTGTCGATGTCCACCCCAGGACTCGAAACCATTGCTGTTCGCTTCAAACACCATCACATAAATCCATTTAGCTACTGATTCCTAATGTCTACTTGCTTGTATTTCTAGTAATAATCCCAACCATTATTATTCTTTATATAAATTATTCAATGTTCAATACAATGTATTAGAATGAAATTACTATATACATATATATATATATATATAGAGAGAGAGAGAGAGAGAGATTTGTATTTGCAAGGATGTTATTATCTTGTATTCCTTTTTTATTGAACGAAGAGGATATTTTACCAGATTAATGCATTAAAATGAGTCATATATATATATATATATATATATATATATATATATATATATATAGAGAGAGAGAGAGAGAGAGAGAGAGGGGGAGACAGAGAGAGAGAGAGAGAGAGAAAGTAAGTAAGTTCAATTTACACAATCATTTAGAGATAGTAACGAGATTTTGAGTTTTGTTTCTTAAGGATATCGTTGGTAATATAAATGAAATGCTAATAAGTTGATAGGATGGGCGTTACTTATAATTATCTTATTACTTAATAAATAGATAGATTTAGGAAATATATATTTAGTGATATGATAAACATTCCAATGTAAAATGTTTACATTTCCGATATACGATACATGGTAAAGTTAAAATTGAGAGATTATTGAAAAATAAGGCCATTGGTTTGAATCATGCTACAAATCATGATTGAATTTTTTAAAAAGAAATGTCTATCTATTTCTCGCAATTAAAAAATTATTCAGCCTTCCAATTAACTTATACTATATCGGATGTAGAGAACTAATGAACTCATCATTGATAGTAACTTACTTACTTACTTACTTACTTACTTACTTACTTACTTACTTACTTACTTACTTACTTACTTACTTACTTACTTACTTACTTACTTACTTACTTACTTACTTACTTACTTACTTACTTACTTACTTACTTACTTACTTACTTACTTACTTACTTACTTACTTACTTACTTACTTACTTACTTACTTACTTACTTACTTACTTACTTACTTACTTACTTACTTACTTACTTACTTACTTACTTACTTACTACTTACTTACTTACTTACTTACTTACTTACTTACTTACTTACTTACTTACTTACTTACTTACTTACTTACTTACTTACTTACTTACTTACTTACTTACTTACTTACTTACTTACTTACTTACTTACTTACTTACTTACTTACTTACTTACTTACTTACTTACTTACTTACTTACTTACTTACTTACTTACTTACTTACTTACTTACTTACTTACTTACTTACTTACTTACTTACTTACTTACTTACTTACTTACTTACTTACTTACTTACTTACTTACTTACTTACTTACTTACTTACTTACTTACTTACTTACTTACTTACTTACTTACTTACTTACTTACTTACTTACTTACTTACTTACTTACTTACTTACTTACTTACTTACTTACTTACTTACTTACTTACTTACTTACTTACTTACTTACTTACTTACTTACTTACTTACTTACTTACTTACTTACTTACTTACTTACTTACTTACTTACTTACTTACTTACTTACTTACTTACTTACTTACTTACT